AAAAAAAAAAAAAAAAAAAAAAAACACAAAAAAACCCCAAAACACTTTGCTTAGGATAGAAAACAAAAATTAATTAGAAACTATTGTGCCTGCAATTTTGAATTTGAAATAATTGCATTTCTCTGATCAATATACAGTTTGTTGAAATGTAGTTCACTGATTTAAGATACTAATACTCGATCTTTATAGTGAAAATTTTCTAACAGGCTTACCAACTGACTTTTTTGCCTGCTTACATTCACGTGCATCAACTTTAATAATAGGATAGCCCGTGGGAAATAAAGCAACTATTTGTATTTATTTAAAAAAATAAACAGAAGATAGTTGAAAAGACAAATATAAAATTTACTAAAAGCCACCACAATCTTAGAAGTAAATACATTTTGGACTAGATTAGGTGTTCCTAAAAGGACATACTAGTAGAAGAAAGTTTGTGTGTGTCTAGTTTCTAAACTCTGGGATGAGATGGCTCTTGCTGAATCTAGTTAGTGCCTCTCTCACTAGCTGGGTTACAGAATGCATATGAGAAGTGGATGTTGCCTCAACACTTTCCCTTATTGTTAACTAAGTTGGTGGGCATTGTGGGCCAAGTCCTGAAGTCAGTGGGATGATTCATATGTAGTGCAAGTAGGATATGACCTGAAACCACAACAGAATTGGCACTAGAGTGCTCTATCAGATTTGTGTGCAGAGATCATGTTGTGATTGGGTTTTGCACATTTGTGTTTCTGACATGTGGCCATCAGCGTTAAGTCTTAAGTAACGGCCTGTGTGGGAGGTGATGCAGACAGGCTACAGTTCAGCAGGAATCTCTAGAGGGAAATTCTGACTGGTTCCTAGAGAGTGTTACAACAGAACAGCAGCGCTCTGTTTCATCAAATGAAGCGTACAGAAAAGAGGGTATCAGGTAAGTTTGCTAGTCATTGGGGAAAAGGAGACTACTAACCAGTACCTTTCAAGAAGTTAACGTACGTAGCCAGCAGCACCACAATGGCTTCACTCCTGGCAGGGTTTATCCCTATCTGTACTTCACATCTTTCTCTTCTCGTGGATCAGTGCAGCGTTAGACACAATCAAACCCATGTCTACACCCATGCATACTTTGTACATTTATTTAACATGTTCCCCAGTCTGGTACTTCAATACAGAATTGACTTCCTAGTTATTTCTTCACTGGATGTAACCTTGAAAAATTCTTATCTAGAACTATAGTTCAAACAGCTTAGCCAACCAGACTGTGACAATCACAAATTAATTATAACCCAAGAATTCTATGTGTGGCCAATACACATTGCAACATTCCGTGACATTCATCTCAGCAAACGGGAAGGTATATAGCAAGCTAGTTTTGGGATTGACACCTGCCCCGGCCTTGCTAGTCTGCTTGTCAAAAAGGCATGCTAGATAAACCGTCGTCTCCTCTCACATTTTCATAAGCAATTTTGATTCATTTGCGTTCTTTCATATATGATGATCCGAAACGGTTACATAAAATGAATATTTAACTTGTAATAGTCAGCTGTACTAAACTGTACTTAATTGCTTAAGTGAAGGAAATTATCCTTACTGTATCTGTCAGAGGTGAAAAACCTACAACATGGCTACATGTAATGCACTCCTTAGTTTACAGACCAAGAATCCCCTAGGAAATATCAGATATTGACATGATGTCCCATAGTGTTGTATTTTATATTAGGATGTGTCATTAGTTTACAGACGTGTACGCTCACGTACCAAACAGACACCTTTCTACTGACTACATATCTGAGGACAGTCTCAGAAACTGTTTCTGCAATATATTTCAATCATTAAAAGAGCCTTCCTACAAGACAGATTTAGGTAGGAGTGTGCAAATTCAATACAAGATAAACAACTTTTTGTCAGATTACCACACCCATTCTGCATGAATCAATGTGACAAGTGCATCTCTCTTGACTAAGACAATTTTATTATTGGGGAAAAATACATTTATCTGCTGATTTAACCAGGATGGTTATTTTAGTTCACCTCTTGCTGCCAAACAAGGTCACACCAAGGTAAATTAATTGTCCAAAATAATGAAGCAAAAGCAAGAGAAACTTTATAAGGGATAGCAACTGAAGAGCTATACAGATTCATAATAAAAAATAGAGAATCTTCCACTTCTGCGATGTGAATGCAAATCCAAGTTAGCTTAAAAACTAATAGGAAAGTGTCTATAGCCCCCAAATTTTGACAATAATTAGCATCAATTAGTGCCCTTGATGAAAGTCTCAGTGGAGAAATCTCAGAGATATGGGCATAGGAGCTGAATGTTGTAGAGGTAGGTTTGAGGCACTTTACTGGAGCAATGAGGGACAGCTCACGTTGCTGTTGCCCGTTTTGCTCCTATTCTGCAGAAGAACAGTTTCTTTTCTAAGGATGTCACAGTGTTTTTGTGCCAGTTATAACTGAGAGACAAGGCAGATTTTAAGGTACGGGATCTGTGAACCACTTAAAAAATGAACTTCATCTTGAAAGAGGATTTATGTGGGCCTCTTCCATTCTTGGTGGTACAGACCGCCCCTTGCCGATTCAAATTCAGAACTTCCATGTGCCAACTCCAGCAATCACTTACAAAGAAAACTTGTAAGAGGAGGTTATACTTCATGTTTAAAACAATTCAGGAACTTGAAGTGAGGGGAAAAGTCAGCTTTACGTAGTCAGCCAGGTCTCCTATATCACACAAGTGTTCTACAGACCACTAACAGCCCTCAGGTTACGCTTTGGTAGATGGGTGCTTAAGATATCATTTTAAAGTACATCTGTGGGAAGATACTTAATTTTGAGGGGTTATCTCTGTTAAAACTCCGACTTTCCCAGGCACTAGATAATTAGTAGGCAAGGGATGGGGGTGGAGGGTTGGAATTGCAAACTGTTATGTCAAAGGATTTGGTTAATAAGCAGTGTTATTTCAGGGACATGTTCAAGCGGCACCTGTATTAATTTTTGAGCTTGCCGAGATACTGAAAACATTGTACTGAGCAGCTTAATATCACAGATGTAAGCTATTACCAACAAGCACTACCTTCCCACCAAAAAACACCCTATTTACAACAGCCAGAATTTAGCCATATTGTTCTGCAGTGTATTCAAGTGACATCTTGTAACCAAAACTACAGAATGTCTTTCATCAAAGAAAACTTTGAACTAATATAAAGCATGAGGCTTCCAAACAAACGGATTTAAGACAACATTTGGATCAAGGATGGTATTGTCACGTAGTCCAAGCAAAACGGAAGGTTACTGTGCAAAAAGCCTGGGCCAACACAGCTATTGCTACATAAGAACCAGTCAGCTACATATGACTAGACACTTCTTCTAATGAGTTAAAATGGCAGTGACTTCTTACACAGTAGTCCTCAATGGGACAACCATTCTTTTCTCAAAGCAGATAGTACAATAGAATCACTTCCTCGAAAATCTATTGATAGTTGTTATAAGCTCAAAAAAGGGGAAAACTTCAGGTTTAAGCAAATGGTTAGAACTGATTGATGATCTGAACTATGTCAAACTTTCATTATGAAACCCCAAAACCACATGAAATGTCCTGTTTCCAGTTTCATCACTAAGTCAGAACTCTGCCCAGGTCCTGCCACACTTTTTCTGACGTTCAAAAGACCTAACCTAAATGGCATGTCTATTTCTGACCAATCTTTGTAAGAGTCAATATGTGTTTCACATCAAATACATGCGAAACATACTGTTTTGGGGTAAAAACCAATTAGAATTTGGTGGTATAGACCAAAATTGGTTTGAATTTAAGGATTCGTTCCAGAAAGTTCAGATGTCATAAGATTCCATGCAAGTAAAAAGTAATGAGTTTTGCACAGCTATCTTGGGGGAGAAGCAGGGGTGCAGGGGGAGAAAAAGCACCCATACAAACTCTTGCCATATTTAAGTACTAAAATAAAGAACTTTTAGATATCCAATGTCAA